TTGAAACGACTTACTGAACGGGAGTGTGGCGGCTGGCCCGGTCGGGGGCACGGCTTGAGTTTTGCCCTAAATCTAAGCCATGGGCCACCCCCCAGACCCTCCCCACCGGGGACGACCAATAGGGAGCGTCTGGCAACCGGGCAGCGAAGACAGATGCTGGTTTGTTTTTCCTCCTGCGGTCCGACTGGCAGAGGGATGGAGAAAACAAAGGCCGTTTGTGCTGTGGTCCCTCCAGGCAGCTGGTCAACCTGTTTCCTAAAATACTGGAAGCTTTTTACATTGCCCGGAGCTGAAAAATAAGCAGGACCGTCTGTCCTTTGCACCGCGAACCAGGCCGACCCCGAATCTCAGTTTGGGAGGCTCTTGAAAGCACCGGACCAATCAGCCACGGCTTTGGGAAGGAGGTTTCAAGGGCAGCTGATTTAGGAAGGATCCAGGGGTAGTGCAGCGGGGTGGGCAACCGCGGCCTTTAGGCCTGGCCTGGCCGTGGGCCCAATGCTCTGCCATATTTCTGCTAGCTCGCCCGTGCCAGTTTGCAACAAGAAAATATGAAAACGCTCATTATAGGCCAGGCGATAGTACCCTAGTAAGATAGTTAAGCAAGAGAGCAAATGGTTCATTTACGGGCAAACGTCAAAAGTCTTCTGAACCTTCGTGCAACCCAAGAAGCGTTTCGTGACCGTCCCTTAGGCAGATCTGGAAGGAAAAAGGCCGCAGGAAGAACGTCGGAGGCCCGGCAACTGAATTTCCGTTTGCGGAAGAGGCTAGCACCTTCATTCTGCTCCGCATCCACACCCACTCACTTATCAGCCCGGGCACAAGTTGCCAACCGGCACGGCCAAGAACCTCCCACTGGGCCACAGAACCGCTTCTCCAAGGAGGGAATGGGATTTTGGAAGTGGGAAGGGGTGAGATTAGGAATCTAGGAAGAGCCTAGCTGGACCTGCCAGATGTCCTCTGGGGACCCCATCTAAGAGCCCATGCTGGGGTCCTCTGACCAGCAACTGGCATTCATAGATAGGCTGACTCTAAGCACTGCACCGCACTGCCTCTTAATAACCCAGGCTGGATTTCCTCCTGTAAGCTTGTCGGGGCTTGCAGCGCTCGTCTTCCTGGGAAAATCGGCAGCGGGGAGGCCGGGTGTGTCCATGGTGAGCGACGTGCCCGGACAAGCACAAGGGCGCCTTTGGGAGAGGACACCAACCCCAAACCTCTGGAAACCCAAAAATGCGCGCTCTCTCTGCAGCAGCTGGCTACCACCCAGGATAAACCAGTTCCTCTTGCCGGTCTAAGTTGGGTGTGGCCTGGCACTTTGTTTCGGGTCTCTGATGCTCCTAAGGGGAACAGTGGGAAATGCAAGGCCAGATTCCCTGCTAAGGAAGACGGGATTTCACTGAATGCGGTGGGTGGCGTGGCTTGTTGTAGATGTTGAGGGAGAGCTGGTGAGTTGAGGGAAGCCTTGGGAGTGGTTGAAGTTTGTCAGATTTGAGGGACCTGATGACACCCAC